GTGTTTAATGACCATCAAAGGGCAATGTCAACTACATTAACGGTGCATGAAATTAAATAGACCATTACAGAGAAAGGTCAGCTTGGCAGGAGTTAAATGACTTGTGTCGACTCAATAAAGAAAGTATCCTTACATCTGCACATTGCCAGGTTCACACTAACATGCCAGCTGTGGGGAAATGTCACTTTCACTTCAGCAAACCAACACATATATAAATATAAGCAAATATTAGAATAAGGTTTATGGATATACTTTAATTGAGAGCACTTGGCTGTAAGTCTGAATATACATACAGAGCAAAGACTGCCACTGTAAAAGGACTGAGTAAATATATGCTGGTATTAATGGTGAAGGGTGTATTTTTCAACCGCCCTTTCATATGGCAGGTGCTTAGGCTGAGTTCAGTGAACTTCAATAAAAAGCAATAAAAGTACTTTTAAAAATGCACACATTACACAAGTGCCACTGCAGTTGTATAATGGATAATGTCAGCTTCACATCTGATAGGATTATCAAGTACAGTACATTCTTCATGATGACACAGGCCTTCATCTGAGGTCCCTGCAAAGAAACAGCTGTTTTGTGGGTTTACTGCTGCCAAGATAGCAATTTTGTAGAATCACATAATGCCTAACATTTCACTGTAATCATATTAGGAAGTCTTCATGGCTTTCTGAAATTTGTTGATCTTCATTTTACCACTGTATGAGATAGAAAGCTCCAACCATGCACTACTGGATATAAAATCTGTAGTCAGACATAAACAGTTGTAAGTGACATCACAAAGATGCAAAATGAGCGCCCAGCAATGAAATCCAACAGTGAAAAGTCTGAAGTCAAGTCCCATGAAATGATTGACTGATGTTGTGGATTCAGCTGCTTTAAGGCCCACAAATATTAGAATAAGCTGCAGGAATGTAATTTTGAAGGAATAATGGGTAATGGAAATAAGATGAATGTGGAAAGTGTTCTCTCCTCCTCGTTTCCACATGGCAGGAATTATCTGTGCAGATGTGGGACAAACAAAGACGAAGCAAATACACTATGTCTAAAAATATGTTTGCTGATGTGTGTGTGTGTAAATATGAGTACACATGAATTTATCTTCACAGAGCAGACAGCACAGGCATACATGATAAAGCTACGCCTGTAACCTCTGTGTACATCTGTGCTTATTGTTAAGTGCCGTTCGCACCTGTCAGTGAGCGAACGAGAAAGAGGCAGACCCAGGTAGCCGACTTCGGTGCAAGCAGTGATTTATTATATACAGTGATGATGAGAGTACAAATACACAGAGGGAAATAGT